GTTTACCTGTTTTTGAAATGGTTACCTTATAATAATAATAATAATAATAATAATAATAATAATAATAATAATAATAATAATAATAATAATAATAATAATAATAATAATAATAATAATAATAATAATAATAATAATAATAATATTGGGAAATATTATTGCAAGTTAAAATAACTGTTTATAATTTGAATATATTTTAAAATGTAATTTATTTCTGTGATGCAAAGCTGAATTTTCAGCATCATTACTTCAGTCTTCAGTGTCACATGATCCTTCAGAAATCATTCTAATATGCTGATTGCTCAAGAAATGTCTTATTTTTAATGTTGAAAATGGTTAATATTTTGTATTTAAAAAAAAACTGTACTTACTGATTAATGGTAAGTTAAGAAGAACAGGAAATCTTTTAAAACAAATTTCTTTGTCAATTTTGATCAATTTAATTCATACTTGCTGAATAAAAGTAAACACTTTAAACACCTCCACTTTTGAATGTTTTGTTGTCTTTGAATGCTTTTTTAAAAACTCATTTTGAATGTTTCTTTTGCAATTACTTGATTATGCAAAAGGAGAAAAATAATAAAAAGGCTATATATAAAATGGTGTGCAATTATATGCAGAGCAGACAGGTCACCGTTTTGTGAGAGAAATGAAAGTTGTTTGGGTTGAAGCATCATTGTACATCTTTTGCAAGCTTTAAATGTATTGGATGAAAAATGTGCGCATTTATTCTTAGTCTTTTTATTAGACTATATATATATCTTTGAGTGTAAGTAGAAGGTGAATGCACAAAGAGAGATAGCGAAAGCCTTGAGTAGTTTTATCATTTCCATTTGACTGCAGGCGCTGGGATCTCAATCCATTTTTCATGAGGACAGCACAGTTTCACACTCACGTCATTAATGCAGGTTTAAGCTGAAACAGTGTTACAATGACAATAAGTGTTACCAGCAGAAGACGGGAGTTTCAAACGCTGCAGATTCTGCTGCTTTATAACCCAGAGTACCAGTCCTGAAGGTGTCATGTATCACACATTTCTTCTGTGCACCATTTACTAAGCGTATGAAGATTCAGCTTCATTTGATCAAACCTTTTAAGATCCATTAGCTTGAGCTTCCTTTCCTCTGAGCTGCTGAAAAACTATTTTTTTTGTTTAATATATTTCTAATGTTTTCCTTACTGACATTTTCAGTTGTTTCTTTTAAGTCGTGTGCATTTAAATGATTTTGATAAAGATGCCATGTAAAATATCATGTCAATAAGGCCTAACTGGCCTATTTTATATTTGCTGACTCACTTATACTAAGAGAAGATGACAGTATCTGCTGACGTTAGTGAATATGGAATGCGTTAAATGATGCACATTACAGATCTCCTCTGAGCTGCTGAAAAACAATTGTTTTTGTTTAATATATTTCTAATGTTTTCCTTACTGACATTTTCAGTTGTTTCTTTGTGCATTTAAATGATTTTGATAAAGATGCCATGTAAAATATCATGTCAATAAGGCCTAACTGGCCTATTTTATATTTGCTGACTCACTTATACTAAGAGAAGATGACAGTATCTGCTGACGTTAGTGAATATGGAATGCGTTAAATGATGCACATTACAGATCAGCACTGGAAACCGACTTGGGTTGTGAAATTTGAGTTTTGTTTTTTTTTTGCCAATGGCTGATAATTAGTTTTATGGCTGATATAGTTTATATGATTGCCAATATCAATTGTCAAAATAAATATAGGCTACATATTAGGTTTTAGTTGGCAAAAAAAGGCCTCTTTAGACTTATGTGATTGACACATTTACCAATCAGACCAATTAAAATAAATTATTTCAGAGAGTTTTGTAATAATTTTAATTGAGATTAAGGCTACGTCCACACGAAGCCAGAGCTTTCCCTATCCGATCTTTTTTTTCCCCTCGTCTCAAGAAATATCTGCGTCCACACGAAACCGACACAAAACGATGTAGTATACATGCCAGACCAGTATGTGGCGCTGTAATTCTGCCACAGAGATACACTAAAAACGGAGAAGACTTGGACTATGCGCATAAACTTTGCGCGCGGTATACGAACATGGAACTATACATTTATTGTTAATGTTAGTTAATAAAAAGACAATTGTTCAGTGTTTGTTCATGTTTTTGTTGCCGTTACGTGACGTAGCGGTGTCTGACTATGGGCGAGACGTGGGCTGATGACGTCATGGACGGGGCCTAAAAATGGCTTGTTATATCTTGATATGATCAAATATTGTTATTTTATTATATTGTTTGTTTATTTTATTTTATTTTCCCAGATGTCATAAGATTCTCCACTCTTTTATTTTATTATTATTTTTTATTTGATATTTGATTTTTTATTTTACTTAGCATTTCTGGACAGCATATGATTTTCTGCTTTTTATTTCATTTTTTTTGTTTTTGTTTTTTTGTTTTTTTTTTTTTTTCTCCATTATAAGATTCTTTATTTGTTTAGCATTCCCAGAAATCATTATAAGATTCTCTAGTTAAGTTTAATGTAGTTTAGTTTACTTTAGTTACATAGCATTCCCAGGTGGCATTATACCATTCTCTACAGCTCTTTTAGGTCAATGTTTTTTTGTTGTTCATTTATGCCATTTTTCCCTATGTTCAGAATCATCCATGAAGACGGCTACTCAGAAGACGAGTGTAAGCAGTACAGAGCCGTGGTCTACAGCAACACCATCCAGTCCATAATGGCCATCATTAAAGCCATGAGCAACCTCAAGATCGACTACAGAGAGACCGCCCGAGTGGTAAGACCTCCTGTAATGTCTGGGTCATGCTGGGATTTTAAGTGAGGATATGAAATTCTCACAACAGAGATGGACTTGATGTTTAAACATATAGACGTGCACAAAATGCACAGAACAGCGATAAGTTTGTTACATTACACTACAAGATTTTTTTGTTTTTGAAAGAAGTCTCTTCTGCTCACCAAAGCTGCATTTATTTGATAAGAAATGCAGTAAAAGTATAGTGAAATATTAGTTTAAAATAGCTGTTTTTTATTTGAATATGTTTTATTTCTGTGACGCAGAGCTGAATTTTCAGCAGCATTACTCCAGTCTTCAGGGTCACATGATCCTTCAGAAATTATTCTAATATGCTGATTTGCTGCTCAAGAAACATTTCTGATTATTACCTATGCTGAAAACAGTTGTGCAGCTTCATATTTGGATCTTTTATGAATAGAACGTTCTGCATTTTGTAAAATGTCCTTTTTTTGTAACAATTAATTTTTTTATTGAATGCACACTTGTTGAATATTTCTTTTAAAAAAAAAACCTTACCCCATACTTTTGCACAGTAGTGTAAAAGTGTTGGCTTAAACATTAAACACCCTGGTTGATGTCTTTTGTGATGTTGTTGGTTTATGAAAGCAGTAATCCACTGGAGGCCGTGTGTTTTTCAGCAGTTAAATCATCTCACTTCTCTCGTTCACCTCTGTCAGATCACTGCAGCTCACGCCTCACATGACCTGCTGGTTAATTAGATTTCATCCATGTACTTCAGAGCTGCATAAACACAAACACTTGAGGAACAGAATCGTGCGAGGAGTGGCAGCAGAAAACTAAATTACAAATCTCTCCCTAGACAGAATGTGACTTTAAAGGGTTTTTAGCACCCATGCATAAACACTGGTGCATGATGGGAGGCAGGTTCAAGCAGGGAACTCAATGCCAAGTCCATCTGTTGTTTTTAGCAGAAACGTCTCCTGCCTACAATTACATTAAGATTTATATATGATCAGCTGTGAACACGGGCACATTTGTTCATGTCCTTTCTCATGGTTTACAGACTGTTGCCATTACAGTGGGAAATAATTCAATCACCACATGCTTATGTGAATATAATGAATTTAATAAAAACATATATGTGACCCTGGACCACAAAACCAGCCTTAAGTCGCTGGGGTATTTTTGTAGCAATAGCCAAAAAAACACTGTATGGGTCAAAATTATAAATTTTTCTTTTATGCCAAAAATCATTAGGATATTAAGTAAAGATCGTGTTCCATGAAGATGTTTTGTAAATTTCTTACCGTAAATTACAGGTACATCTAAAAAAATTAGAATATCATGAAAAAGGTCAATATTTTTTGTCACTCGTATAGTGAAATATTAGTTTAAAATAGCTGTTTTTTATTTGAATATGTTTTATTTCTGTGACGCAGAGCTGAATTTTCAGCAGCATTACTCCAGTCTTCAGGGTCACATGATCCTTCAGAAATTATTCTAATATGCTGATTTGCTGCTCAAGAAACATTTCTGATTATTACCTATGTTGAAAACAGTTGTGCAGCTTCATATTTGAATCTTTTATGAATAGAACGTTCTGCATTTTGTAAAATGTCCTTTTTTTGTAACAATTAATTTTTTTATTGAATGCACACTTGTTGAATATTTCTTTAAAAAAAAAAACTTACCCCATACTTTTGCACAGTAGTGTAAAAGTGTTGGCTTAAACACTAAACACGCTGGTTGATGTCTTTTGTCATGTTGTTGGTTTATGAAAGCAGTAATCCACTGGAGGCTGTGTGTTTTTCAGCAGTTAAATCCTCTCACTTCTCTCGTTCACCTCTGTCAGATCACTGCAGCTCACACCTCACACGGCCTGCTGGTTAATTAGATTTCATCCATGTACTTCAGAGCTGCATAAACACAAACACTTGAGGAACAGAATCGTGCGAGGAGTGGCAGCAGAAAACTAAATTACAAATCTCTCCCTAGACAGAATTTGACTTTAAAGGGTTTTTAGCACCCATGCATAAACACTGGTGCATGATGGGAGGCAGGTTCAAGCAGGGAACTCAATGCCAAGTCCATCTGTTGTTGTTAGCAGAAACGTCTCCTGCCTACAATTACATTAAGATTTATATATTTATATATGATCAGCTGTGAACACGGGCACATTTGTTCATGTCCTTTCTCATGGTTTACAGACTGTTGCCATTACAGTGGGAAATAATTCAATCACCACATGCTTATGTGAATATAATGAATTTAATAAAAACATATATGTGACCCTGGACCACAAAACCAGCCTTAAGTCGCTGGGGTATTTTTGTAGCAATAGCCAAAAAAACACTGTATGGGTCAAAATTATAAATTTTTCTTTTATGCCAAAAATCATTAGGATATTAAGTAAAGATCGTGTTCCATGAAGATGTTTTGTAAATTTCTTACCGTAAATATTCTTTTAGTCCGTAACGTGTCAGATGGTAATCAGTAAGAAATGCTTTCATTCTTAATTGTCTTCCCTATTTTATTTTCCAAAATATAGACAAGGTGTGTCGGGGTTGAAGACTGTAACACATTTGAAGGGATACATTGCCTTCAACAGATTATGTATAAATCTCAATCTCGAAAAATTGACCCTTATGACTGGTTTTGTGGTCCAGGGTCACACATATATATATGTGTGATACGGTTGAGTGTGATGATGGGGTTGTGGTTTTTCACTCAAAATGGCCACTGCTGCTTGTGTAGTGAAGGAGAGTAGTCCATATATGGCAGCAATAAAATAAGTACATTGTATATACTTATGGATTCAAATAAAATGTTGAAAAATAATTTTATGTGACCGGTTTCAGATGTTAAGCTTGACAGTACCCTCCCTGACTATAATATGCCTAAAAAATATGAATAAAAAGTATGATACTACTAACCATTTTCTGCAGCACTATTAAAGAAACCTGAATGATGTCATTTCTGGTAAATGGGTGGAGACTAAATGTATGATGGGCATAGAATGGTTAGTGTGACGGGGTTGAGTTCAGATTGAGGGACATTATTTTAAAGTCTGAAAATATCTTGCATTTTCTTAGAAAAATCTTTTTCGCAAGAAAGGAACACAAATGAAAGGAAAACTTAATTATTGCCAAAAACTATAGACACTGTGCACATTTTGTTTATCATTTTCTAAGTACAAACTCAGTGAAGTGCCTCAGGCACATGACAAAATGCTTGGTGTAAGATAGAAATTAGACATTATTTTATGATAAAAATTATTTAAATGCAATAACTATTTTTATTCATTATAATGGGCATACCAAAGTACTGTGAAAAGCTTTTAATAATGATACATTTATTTATTTTATATATACAGTGGGTACGGAAAGTATTCAGACCCCCTTAAATTTTTCACTCTTTGTTATATTGCAGCCATTTGCTAAAATCATTTAAGTATTTATTTTATATAACCCACTGTATATATATATATAATATATTCAAAATCAGTGACAAAATAAGAATTCTGGATGCGTAGAGGAGGGTATTATAGAGATGGTAAAGCTTATATATATATGAGAAGTGAAAAGGATTCAGGTAGAAAGTGGTTTCTCATTATCTTGTTCTTCTGAGACCCTCATGAAATGTTAATGGGCATGCGAAAAGTGACACTTTCACCTTATGCTGCTGCATTTCAGTACTCCAACATCAAATATTCTTTTTATGGCCTCCTAATTCCCTCCTCTCTTCAGGATGTTTGATGTGGGAGGTCAGAGGTCAGAGCGGAAGAAATGGATCCATTGCTTTGAGGGAGTAACAGCCATCATCTTCTGTGTGGCTCTGAGCGCTTATGACCTGGTGCTGGCAGAAGATGAGGAGATGGTGAGTTTCAGATACAGCTTGGAAAGGTTTAGTTTTAAAATAAAATCCTTATCCTGTAATCAGAGCCACGGGAGAAGTCATGGAAAACATTGTGGGTTATCCAAACAGTAAACCTGAATTATGAATTTGTAATTGTATGATTGGTTTTGCAGACCTTGTCCAAGAATTGTACATTTCAATTACAAACTATTTTTATTTTCTGATATATAATATAACATTTTCATTAGATTGAGCAATATATTAAAATGAAACAAAATTATCATACGATGGCTGACATATTTCATTATTTTAAAGATGAGCAATACATTTAAACAAAATAAAAAATGATGTCATATAAAATTATAATAAGAATGGGGAAATATTTCTTTTTTTTTTTTAATGTATTGCTCAACCTTTCTTTGCGTGAACGTTTGGGCGGCGTTATGCAAATCTTCCGAGATCGTGACGTAGGTATGTGGGGGTGTGTTAGAACGAGCCGTTTTAGGTAGGTGTGGCTGACTCTTAACTTTTATAAAGAATATCTCTTTGGATTTGAGACTTTAGTCTTTGCAACTTTACAGATCTTCTTTATGCACCAAGAGCTTGTAACACTCCAAAGAGAAAGGAAAAATTGAAATCGCATCATATGACCCCTTTAAGATTGGGGAAGTAATTCATTATTTAATGTTGAGCAATGCATTAAAACGATTTAAAATGTCGACAGCTACACTTGTTTAGGGCTTTTGGCCAAAATCACAGAAAAAACTAAGTATTGTTTACAAATTCTCTTCTTTATTCATGTTGCATTTTATGCAATTAATATTGGCATTGATATACTGATAGTATTAGTACCAATTTAAGTGTAGTACATTGTTCTTAAAAAGAGTAAAAGGCTCTTTTATGTAAGCTGTTAGATCATGTGGGATATAAAAAAAATTCTAACAGTGTTCTTTTCTGAAAGAAATTACCCATTTTGATTTAGGTTGGTGTCGTTTGTGTTGTCAACCGTCACAACTCTGACTAATGCATAACTAATACTCATAAGATCCTTGTTAAACTAGTCTACATGCTCTCCATAGCGCACACACAAGCTGACAGCGCACTCTGGTGTTGAGTTACTGTGCAGCATCTTCAGCTTTCAATAAGTCACACTCCTTTTTTTTTTTTCAGAACCGCATGCATGAAAGCATGAAACTGTTCGACTCCATCTGCAACAACAAGTGGTTCACCGAGACCTCCATCATCCTCTTCCTCAACAAGAAGGATCTGTTTGAGGAGAAGATCACGCGCAGCCCTCTCACCATCTGCTTCCCTGAGTATTCAGGTCTTTGACTTCACCATTGCTTAAATGATTTTTTGTGATGATCACTATTAACCCACAAATGCGCCGATGAGGCTTCAGTAGAACACAGAACATTCATTTGACTTCTTTTGGCATGCGTAGTACGACTAAAACATAATGATAATTATAAGGTTATTTTGCTGAAAATGTTTTTTTGAAAGGTTTAAGTAACTAAAACTGCATGACAAGATTTTCTGTGTGGTTTTTATACAGGAGCTAATAAATATGATGAGGCTGCCAGTTACATCCAGACCAAGTTTGAGGAGCTCAACAAGAAAAAAAACACCAAGGAAATCTACACCCACTTTACCTGTGCGACTGACACGAAGAACGTGCAGTTTGTGTTCGACGCCGTCACTGACGTCATCATCAAAAACAACCTAAAGGACTGCGGCCTTTTTTAATGAAGGTGGCCAAGAGAATGATAAGGTTAATAAACGCACATTAAATACACCTGTGTTCAGATACACTTTCATATGCATGAGCATAGTTGCTCAAAAACGGCATCAAATAAAGGCTTTTTCAAACATTTGAGGAACACTTACACTTAGGCCTGTCACGATAACAACTTTTTGTTGTGCGATATATTGCCCCAGAAATAATTGCGATAAGCGATATTATTGTCATTTTAAAGACCATTTTATGCCACTGAATATATAATCATAATGTAACAGCATAATAATGCAAATTCATTCAGAAACAAAACAACGTCATGTTGCTCAGAGACGCAAAAACAGAACTGTGGCTGTGTTTGGAATGTTTTTAGTTGGTGAAATAGCACAGAAATAGCGCAAAAACAGCCAATATGGTGTCTAAAACGTAAGTCTCTTGATACTAACTTATTGTTTATTGAACTGTTGTATAAAATAAATATCACATATGTAACCATGCTGATTTTTTAAAGAAAAAACGGCACTCTTCGTGTGATATTGATTAACTATATGAATTGATATAAATATATACATTTTCTGCCTCCTTATCTTGAATTATGTGATCATTCTTAATGCATATTAATAGACTGAATCATGCAGCGCTAAACCTGCGCAGATTTGGCTTGCATGAACTTCCCAAAGAAATTAATGAGTGAACATAATTTACGAAAACTAACCCGCCAAATTGGTTAGTGATTTGACAGCGTTACCCGCCACAGCTGATTTTTACCCGCATTTGGCGGGTGTTAATTTCAAACCCTGATTTCTTTTAATCAGGGTTGAAATGCTGCTTCATATTTTTGTGGATTTCAGGATTCTTTGATGAATATGAAGTTCAAAAGTACAGCATTGTTTTGTTATATAATCATAAAAATATTTTAATTGACGCTTTTGTGTAGTTTTATGCATCCATGCTTAGTAAAAATATTACAACTTGGTGACCGTAACCTTTTAAAATGAATAATTACCAAACCAAATTTCATTTAAAGCTAGCACAAGCACACTTCACAAACAAAACATTTAACATATAGTAAGTTTGTTAGGTTTGAAATGAACAGAACGTGTTCATAATTGTGAAAAACTGGTATTAACCTTCTTGATTGGTTGTGATTATTCCTCAGGAAGGTGTAAACTGTTTGATGGAGCTGGTTCTACACGACATGCTAGACTGCCTTCAGCTACCTACCTATAAGAATCATAATGTTTTTGTTTTTTATGTGACGACCTGAAAAAGACTTGTGAACAAGGAAAAGAGAAACTTCGCCGAATTCCAGCACACCATCCTTCTTTCCTGAACCTGATTTTAAATTGGTTCTCAATGTGTAAATATTTAATTTTGCAGTTCTTTTCTGCCAGAAAACTTGTGGAGAGTCAGGATTATATGTTTTGTTTTTGACAGTTTACCAATGAGGTGGGTGAGGACTTCTTTTATGGATGTGCAAAATGCTTCTTTTGTAAAGGTAATGCGAGCACAGAAAGAAAACGAGACATCTCTTTTGTAACAGCGACTCTTCATCCCTGGCTCGAGCTGTATATTGTTGCATGACGGATCATATGAAATTGCTCGGCGTGACATTCCCTCACATGTCTTCACTCTCTCTACTAGCTTGACTTTGACACTGTCCAGAACTGACTAACGTGTAACATTTATATATCTGCCCTCACGTTTCTCCTTCCCGTTGCGGTCCCATCCCTTCTTTAGCACGATGTCTGTGCCTTGTTTTCACTGTCTGTAGATCATCGGGCTGTTCTTATTCACGCTATCAAATGAAAAGTGTAAAAGTGTTGAGCACATTTTAAGAGCTAAATAAAACTTAGATCACAGTCTAAATATCTAAATACCATAAGATTTCGTTGGAAATAAAAGTTATGTAAGATAGACCTGTGCTCCTTGTCTTTTTTTTTTTTTGTCTTGTGATGCAGCAAATTAGTTTTTGCTGAACTTGATTTTCATGCCAGGTAATGTTTTTTTCTTTTTTCTCCATGCTATTGTAGTTCATATTCAGAATATTTCTGCAGTGTCATTTATTGACCACATGATGGCGCTAGAGGAACATTTTGTGTAAAAAATGAACTCAAAATGACTGGCAATCCAGCTGTGTAAACTAGTTGCTAAGTCTAATTAGTTACATAAAAAAACCCAACAAACTCAAACTACACTCGGGCAAATATTAGCCTAGATAATATTATTAAAAATGATACAGTGATGGTAATATCAGGTTACAGAGTAAATTCCATATTTGAATCCCATAGGACCCTAAAGTACTTAAAATAATACCATGATAATTTGTACGTCAAATAAAATAAAATACATTAACAAAAAAATTATCAAAAAGCACCATGGTAGTGTTTTCATGTGTGATTTCATTTGATTCTGATACCATACTTCTTTGTTATAAAATAACAATTGGACAAATTTTATATTTATAATTTGTTTTATTTAATTTAATTGTATAATGTTATAATTATCTTGTTAATTTAGATTTTGTTATAAATTAACAAGTTCATCTAGTCCATTACACTGCAGTTCTCTCAGGTGCGAAGCGCTTGTTCTTCGCTCACGTCTCACTTCTCGCTCTATGATTGGCTGGCAGTCGGACGGATGTCGCTGATTGGTGGAGATGGTCCTGACTGGAAACTGACGGCGCGATCAAAAGCGCTCAGTCCAAACGCGCATTGACTGACAACACGAGCAGGAGACGCGTCTGCTGCAGGAGCGTTTGTGTTGTTCTGGAGTACTTTATAACTCTTGTATATTTTTTGTGAACAGTTGGTGAGTTTCTCAAACGCCCTTAGGTTGCATATACACGCAGCTGTGCATTATTTAAATAAAATATTTAAGCCACATCTGTCTTGTTTTTTCAGGGGTAACGGGAAACAATACAAGGTGGACTAACTCAGCATACGAAAAATAAACATGGTAAGTGTTTTACTTGGCTTGTTTTGTTCTTGTTCGATTTTATTGTCTGAAAATATGATATTATTTGTAACAAGGGTTGCGTCTTTAGTCTAAGTCATGCAATTTAAAAAAGAACACACATATTGAATAAACTTAAGTATATACGGAATATAAAATTAGATATGCTAGTTAGTCGAGATTTTTATATTTTAGTAACAGTAACTTGGGTTGGCAAAATGTCATCAGCATGTTGTTTTGAGTTATGGACTAGTAACACAAATGGTCAATTCACTTCTGTCGCTGAGAGGACAATTTGCAGCAACTCTTGCAAAAATGTACCCTGGTAACCATAGTGTGGTTTTGGGACTAAAATATAATAAATAAAAAAAACCATTCTGAAAGTAGATCCCATGTTAAGTTGATCTGATTTTACAGTAATAATAACAATGTCAGTTCCACTAAAATGTCAGTTTAGAGTCTCAAAAGCTGTATCTGGCATCTTGAATTCATTTGTTCATATGCCGCATTAATAGTCCTATAGTTTTAACTTAAAATATTAATGTGACACATGCACTGGCACATTATGTGCCTCCCTCAGGGATTATAAACCATTTTAAACTGTAATCTGGTTTTGAAATGTAATGTACATTTTCAGCAATGATGGAGGTTAACCACTACCCAACTCTATGCATTTTTCATGGCCTCTGGCAACCGCTGGCTTTTCAAACACACACACACACACACACACACACAGCTTAAAGCCAAATGGCTAAGTTCTCACAGCTGTGATAACATCATGGAGTGGTCACTGGTCCTATAGCTCTGCCTCAACCCGTCTGTACACATACATGGGTGTTTTTTCTGCTTTTCAAAAGCATTCCCAAAAAATTCCAAATGCTTTATGGCTACAGCAGAGCTGGAAGTGAAAGTAAAGTAAATCACTTGAGAGAAGCTGGATGTTATCGCTGGAAAACAGGGACTTTCTGGTTGTTAAGAGGTGTGGAACTTGGATCGTCTTTTGATATTGCCAAGCCTGGTCTAGAGGAATTGGGTTTTTTTTTCTTTCTTTTTTCCCCCTCTCTCATAGAATTAAGGACGGTGCAAGACATTCTGGAGTGTTTTTATAGTTAACTATTCCTAAAACCACTGTAAATAAATTTTTACTTAAAATAAATGTTAACTTAAATAAAATAAAAATAATTTATTGTCTATGAGAGGACAATTTGCAGCAACTCTTGCAAAAATGTACCCTGGTAACCATAGTGTGTGGTTTGGGACTAAAATATAATACAAAAAAAAAAAAATTCTGAAAGTAGATCCCATGTTAAGTTGATCTGATTTTACAGTAATAATAACAATGCCAGTTCCACTAAAATGTCAGTTTAGAGTCTCAAAAGCTGTATCTGGCATCTTGAATTCATTTGTTCATATGCCGCATTAATAGTCCTATAGTTTTAACTTAAAATATTAATGTGACACATGCACTGGCACATTATGTGCCTCCCTCAGGGATTATAAACCATTTTAAACTGTAATCTGGTTTTGAAATGTAATGTACATTTTCAGCAATGATGGAGGTTAACCACTACCCAACTCTATGCATTTTTCATGGCCTCTGGCAACCGCTGGCTTTTCAAACACACACACACACACACACACACACAGCTTAAAGCCAAATGGCTAAGTTCTCACAGCTGTGATAACATCATGGAGTGGTCACTGGTCCTATAGCTCTGCCTCAACCCGTCTGTACACATACATGGGTGTTTTTTCTGCTTTTCAAAAGCATTCCCAAAAAATTCCAAATGCTTTATGGCTACAGCAGAGCTGGAAGTGAAAGTAAAGTAAATCACTTGAGAGAAGCTGGATGTTATCGCTGGAAAACAGGGACTTTCTGGTTGTTAAGAGGTGTGGAACTTGGATCGTCTTTTGATATTGCCAAGCCTGGTCTAGAGGAATTGGGTTTTTTTTTCTTTCTTTTTTCCCCCTCTCTCATAGAATTAAGGACGGTGCAAGACATTCTGGAGTGTTTTTATAGTTAACTATTCCTAAAACCACTGTAAATAAATTTTTACTTAAAATAAATGTTAACTTAAATAAAATAAAAATAATTTATTTCAGCTTGTTGCCAAAGCAACTTCTCATTTTCATTTAGTTTAACTTGATGTACTAAAATAACTAAAAGTAAAAAAAATAAAAACTACACAGACATATTTAAAAAATAATAAGAATGACAAAAACAAAATTACTCAAATTTGAACTAAAATGTTTATGAAAATGCAAAATATTGAAAAAAATCTAAATATTAATAAAACGAATACTTTCTCAATAGTAATAAAATAACACTGACTAAATGGCATTAAATACTGATGCCAATGATTGTAGTATATCTAGAATGTGAAAAAAAATGCAAAAGGCGATGACATTTTTCTGAAACCATCTTGATAGCCATCAATCAGCATCAGAACGGCAGAAGATGACTATGGTGAAAAAATTGCACCTTTTTGGATCTTTGACAGACCTTAAAATTACATCTTAAAGTATTCTATTAAAAAAAGTGAACAAAAGGAGCACTATCAAGTTTTAGGTTCATAAAGATGTGCTATTTTTAGGGTTATTAATCATTTACGCAATTCCCGTTTTTTGATGCTGGTGCGCAGAAATTACACACTTCACCTTTAAATATGTGCGAACAAAGGGAGAAAGCACAAACTGTATCAATAAACAGATGCTGTCTAGGTCAGCCACCTCATATAAACTCCATTTGTTCTCAAAGCTCGGTTCATTTCACATGCTCCTTGATCTCAACATATTTAACAGCACAAAAATAAAACTGAACTTATATAGAGCATCCCCATCCTCATCCTCTCATTCCCTCATCTCAGCCTCCTCTCTCGGCTTTCATCTCTCCCTGCGGACGGGCAGAGTGGAGAACTAGTAAGCAAAGCCCTCATTTTAAAGTGCTGCACGCATGGAGAGGGGCTCTTTAATTGAGCTCATGGCTTAGAGTCCATTTTCAGCATGAATATTTTAATGCTGGAGTTGCTGGTCCTTTCCTTCTCAGCATGAAGCAGGACCATCACAAACAGTGAGTCAATGCTTCAAATGGAAATCAATCCTTAGACCGCTACACGCACCGCACTGCTTCTATATGTAGAAAGAGCCATGTAGAGTTCATTAGAATTAAAAATAGTGCTATCTTGATACTACAGTACCTGTGCATTTTTATATATTTTTGTCTGTTTGCAAATCAACCACATCTACTGTATAAATGTATTTTTTCTTTTATTCTAAAATGTCATGTCAATACAAAATTACACCATAAAGTATGTTTTATGATTTTTAGATTTGAGTATCTATAGAACAGAAGATCAAAGAGACCTAAAGCTGGACTCTTTTGACTTAAGCCAATAAGAAACCACCTAGCAACCACTTAGAATACCCTAGCAACCATCTACCTGAAATTAAATAAATGTTAACTGAAATTAAATAAAATAAAATTTTCTTTTTTCAGATAATGCCAAGGCAATATTTCTGTTTTATTTAGGTTAACTTGATGAGCTAAAATAACTAAAACTGAAATAAAAATGTATATATATAAAACTATATAGACATATTTTAAAAATATTTTTTTAAATAAAAAATAACAAAAACACTGAAATTTAAATAATTATAAAAAATTGAAATATTAGTAAAATTAATAGTATCTCAATGATACTAAAATAACACTGACTAAAGGGCATTAAATACAGATGCCAAGATAATAATGGTAATATATACAAGAAAAAAATCATCATTGTAATTTTTCTGAAACCATTTTGACATCCATTAATCAGCCATCAATAGCAACTCCCAAAAATCTAACTAGAAATCCTTAGAAAAACTATGGTATTGTAGCTAGTTTTTCATGGAACTGCACCAATTAAATGTAAAAATCTAGTTCTGCAATATATAATTTAAGTGTTTTCGTAAAATTTTAAACCAACACCAACATCATACTCTTTACTGTTGAAATGCAGCAATAAAGCATCTCTCTATATAAATATGCATGAATATAATGCACAGTCGTACAACACTAGCATTAATTTGCATATTCAGAATGCTGAAATGCAAACTTGTACCAGTGAGTACACCCTTCTATGACATGGCTGGCTCAGCCTCCATGGTAACAGAGGCTCTGCACGGCCCCCTGGGAAATCGTACCCATTAAATAATTCACCAATGCTGTTACTGGTGCCGTCATTATAGCATGGCATACAGCGAAGCCTGAAACCAGCACTAGACCCAACAATACATGTCTCATCCACTTTGATAAATCAATGAAGGCTGTGAGATCTGAAGAACACAAAAGAACTGTGACAGTTCAGCGCCGTGAATA